CCCCCTCCTTATCCTCTCTTTCTCTAATATCCCGTTCCCTTCCACTCAGTACAGGAATTATACAGTAAATAGCGCCTGTGGAAAGGGTTGTATCATCGTATTTCACCAGTTCACGTTACCGATTTTCCTTCTCCCGTTCTTATTCTCCGTTTACTTCTCTTCATTTTGACCATGCACTAATCACCATTTCTGGGCACGTGCCCTGTGCTCCCACGTAGCTTGGCCACTGTTTATGATTATTAAAGCACTGCCCCCTCACCTACTCCGGGAACGGAGGGACCGCATTCATGTTCCCTAAATATCTTTCCCTTTCTCTCCCCTCTTTAGTTCTTTCTTCCGTACTCTCTCCCCCCCCCCCCCCCCCCTCTTTAGATCTCTCTCTACATTTCTCTCTCCAGTTCCCTCTCCCTCTTTGTAAATACTTCTCTCTTCAATACACACAAAAACTCTCTCTCGCAAATGCTCCTCTCTGTTTATGTATCATCATGGAAGTGTAATCCCCTCTCCCCCTTCTAACCTGCATAATCTACACTAACCAATGTTCAAGGCGAGGGTGAAATTTATCTCCCGTCCCTCTGATGTTAAATACTTGCCTGTACCCGTTGATGACAATGTGTTACATTTTGACTGTATAATAATTATACCCTCCCCGCACCTTGATTAACTTTCGAAAACACTTTACACATGAGAGAGATATCAATGCCAGACGTTTATTCCAATAATTTATTAAACATTTTGTTGCAAACTATTTGATTCTCTTGCAAGTAAAATTATATTAAGCTGATGAACGATCTGGTAGAGAAACACACATAAGTAATTTGTTGAGAAAGACAAAGAAATGGTATAAGTAGCTTACATAATTATTCGCAAGAAGAAAAAAGTCTTGTCACTTTATTTCTTACCTAATTTTTAGAGTATCATCTACATAAAGTTTCCCCGCCATTGTGATATACATGATGACAATTGTATATGACTTAAAATATAAAAATTCATTTCTAGGTTCAACTAAATTTGCCAAGCGCTATACAGCAAAACATACATTTGCGATTCGAGGATACATAGAAATCAAGAGTTGCTCGATTTGGGATGCCAGCTAAACCCTTATGATATTTTGCACGCAGATAGGCCTGTATACTGTTCATGCGATTATTGTTTATTTACGTCTATTTATTTTACGTTCAATGCTAAGCGCATTTCTGTATATACAGAGTACGAACGATAGGTGCAAGCAACAAGTGCAAAGTAATACATGTAATACATCTATTCAGTGTTTTTGTTATTAACATATCAAGAATTTACGGAAGTTCCTTTCAGAGTTAATATTTGCATTCCCTGTGTGTGACCACATCTATGTACAGCCAAATGAGTTTCTGTTAATATTATAGTAATAAGCCATCTGGTTATAATGTTCTACCGTATTGGCTTACTGTAATCTATGTAATTTTTTGTTTAACCTAAATATTTTGAAAATATAATTTTAGGAACTGAAAACTAATACATGTAGATCAGATGAAATACGTATAAGGTCGGAATATCCATAACGGTACTATGAAAAACGACATAAAATGAAATATGACATATGAAAATATAACATGGATAAAATCAGAATTATAATCACAAACATTACAAAGAACATTATTAGCTTCAACACCTAACGTATCATAGGAAACATGTAGCATATAATATACAGCAATGCAATGTCACTTTGGTAGGGTACCTCGTATGCTTCCATCACGTCATACATGGTTTGCGATGTTCTTAAAATAAATTCATGATATAACAACTTTTTTTGCTCTCTCTTTTCTTTTCCGTTTTTTCTTTTCTTTTAGTTTTACATGCATTCAAAACATTAGAAACAAGTACAGATATATTTGAGATCTGGTCAAGCGACTGTCTGAAGAAAAGAATCGAGAGCTGATTGTGATTCATGATTATAAACAGCGTTTGTATACTTTAGTTTTACAGCATCACCAGCATGAGAGAAAATCGACTCAATCAGGCTTGCTGAATGTTACATACTCAACCCACATGGGTATATGGAATCACTTACACACACGAACACGCAAGCACATGTGGCATGGCATTTTGGTCCAAGTTCTGTAGCTATATCATGTCATATTTCCAATTTAAATTCCAATTTTAAATTGAAATATGCATTTTTTTTCTTTGTGATATACTATTCTCGCTGTTCCATCTGGTCTTCGCGTCGCTTCACGTTTTCAGAATAACGAATTTTCGGAAACAAAATATTAAAGGAAGCTACCAAATTATTTTCACCTTTATCGCAACTGAAAACTCTCATTAAGTCGATTTTAGGCGTTTCATTTAGTAGATAGGTCGTCTATTCCCTATTTGTCTCCGTCTAATCTTCCATATCCTTATTTTGAAACATCTATTGGCCTATATTCCGTTCCATAAAAGACTGTCCATGTGGTCTAGTCGTCAAATTCCCACGTAGTTTAAATGCCATCGACTACAAAATTCAGATTAACGTATTTATTACGTACCACATGGTCGTTACATTAGACAAAAACTATTTTATACATAGCGGACAATAAATTGTGTATATGGCCACGGACAAATGTAGAACAAATCAATAATATTTCTATTAAAGACATCAGGAAAATGATAAGCATACCAGGCGCATCAGAGACCAAGATTGTATGAGACCGAATACAAGAACAGAAACCGGTTAAATATGCATAGACAAGGTTGGACAAATGGTAAATGGCCCGAATGATAACAAACCAGCCTTAATATACATATACGTTCAGTACGTCTAGATATACACGTACGTGGAAAAATATTTAAAAACAGAGACAAACAAAACCGTAAAGAAACTGTGATAGATTTGCTTATGTACAGAGTGTTGTGTATTATACAATCAATGTTTATACTCTTTATTTAAGTTATTTATTTTTTTATATTCATTATTCATTCATTGACCTCGTTATTGTTTCATGTATTCGTCTATTTACTTATATATTGAAAATTGCCGTAGATACATAAATAACAACGAGCGTTGCAGCTTTTTTAATGGAAATGGTTCGAATCTTCTGATTCATATACAGATTTCCTTTAAAATATACAATGAAATTTAAAAGATTAATATTATAAGATTGATCAAACCTAATATTTTTTGACAGATTAAAATACAAGAATAAATTAAAATTGCTCCGGTTTTAATAACAGACTCTTGTATAACTACTAAACTAGAATTGATTTAATTGCTATATCCAGTTATCTTGCCGAAAAGAAAAATCATATCTACATTAAAAAAACATCACGCTCTGCATTCTATACTTGTGATATTTCAACAATTCACATTGTTGAAATTATATATGCAGTGTTTGGATGCAATATGGTTTACTTAATGATCATAAAGGTTATGTATATTACTCTTTTCAACCATCCAGGCATTAGATAATATATATTAAAAAAAAAAGTCAACTAGATTATTTTTTTCGCTTACGACATTGGACGTCCGCTTCATCAGGCCGACCATACCGACGCTCCTCGGCCACGTCACCGTGTTCATGGGTCAACAATCATTTGGTGCTAAAGACCAGTCATCCTGATGAAGGGTCCCGGAGTGGATCGTAAACGTCGCTAGCTAAAATATTGTAACTAAACTTGACTTGATGAAAGTTCTCTGGTGATTCCTTATAAACTGAATGCTTTTTGGGAAACATCCATTATTATCTTTACGAGGAAAATGAGCAATATTTTCTCAGGGGATGTATCAATAAGAACGAGTTGAGAAATCAGATCTTCTTCGTTACTTATGATTCCGCCAAAATGTTTTTTACCCAAGGTGGTGGATTCCTCGTTGGGTTTCCCATTATAAGATAGCAAAGGGGCTATCTCAGACATGTCTTCAGGTAGGACTTGCATTTCATGGCTGGGCGATTGTTCAGTAGGTTGAAAGCTACTTACGTTGTTCATATCATCACCTGAATGAACTTCTTCAGAAGTCACTTCAGATTCATCCAAGTCCTCTGTACTGAGTTCCGGTGATTGGTCAAGATGTTGACTCCTAATTCGATCTGTCAAGTCCTCCTGGGTTTGGGAAGCCATGTCTCCTGTATGCCCATCTATAGGAGTGTGGTCATTGCTTGTTGTAGCTTCCTGAAGTACCTGGATGTCAGTATGTCCTTTGGTCCTGTCCTGTTCTAGAGAGGTCTCATCTCTATTAGAGAACTGCTGATCATTGACGTCTTCGTTGGCATACTCCAAATCCATCTGTTTTTCTGCTACACCTGACCGGTAGCAAGAAAGAAAAAAAAAATTGTTTTGTTTTTCTTCTCAATTTATATCGAATCGGAATCATCATGATTGTTTAAAACTCAACATGCATGACATCAGAAGACATATCGCATTTCAAATTTCTTTTATTTTCATGTATTTTTGTATTGTATTTATTAAACTTCATTGTACTTCATGTACATCAATATTCTGTTTATAAACATAATTATAATCACTTTACAATGTAATGTAACAATTCATGTTTACCAAGTACTGAAAGAGAACTTGACGTAATTAGTTAGCATCTGTTTGGCTTTTTCGTGTGCACAGCTATAACGAGGAAAATTCTAACTGAAATTAGTACCTAAGTTCTCTTTTCTTTATGTTCTCTGCAATACGTCACCTTAGTATTTATATCAACAGTGTAAATGTGGGAAATTAACTTGTTTTTAGACAATATCAATCTGACTTTGAACACATGGACCGTATTGTATACCACACATGACAGCATGTTGCTGAAGTTTTGGATGGGATCTTTATTACGAAACTACAATTGTTCTTAATGAAAATATACGTTACCTTCGCTGAGATACAGATCTGCAAGGTCGACCAACCTGGCAGCTTTTAGTGCCTTCGTTAACACAATCCGTTCATCTTTCCTGGACACACCTCTTCTCCATTGTTTCAGCATACGGCGAGTTCCATCACTGGTAACATTGTTGAACCTCATATTGGTCATGAGCGCTCTCTGTATATCACCTCATATTGGTCATGAGCGCTCTCTGTATATCACCCTGTAGGATTCCCAGCTGACCACCAAGACTGTCGATCTTGGCTTCATCGTAAAGATCGTCAGCTATCTGCTGTAATATGCCTGCAAACTCATCATCTGGGGGCTCCTCTCTAGAATGGTAGACAGTAATACAAAACAGACAAACGTGGCCGGTCACAGAACGTAGGTATGACGTATGAACTTAAAAAGTAATTAAAATTGTTACTAAGGTAAAGAAAAATACCGGAATAAATACTTTTTCCGGTGATGAGACCATACTGAACATTCTCAAATTATTCAGATAATATCATTGAAGGATTTAACTTTTAACTTTAATCACCATGAACTGGAATGCAGCTAAGATTTTCATTATTTTGTTAATGAATTTGTTATCTTTTATTCACTTCTGCTTCTACATAATCACAGGTGGTCATTATTATTTCTAAACATCATTTTGGATTCATAAAACATGTCCTGTCATACTTTTAGAACCGTTATTGACAGTCTAGCACCTCTCATTTTACAACCAAAAGTACTTTCCATGGTAGCTTTATCACTATGAGATAAATAATGCGTTCTTTGTCATGTAAAGAGTGATTAAATTCATCTCACCCTGCTTGTATTGAATCACTCGTTCCAAGTCCTCCAGTTGAATTATCCTCAGGTGATGATGGGCCTGTCATGACGGAATGAAGTCAGTTTGAATAAGTAAACAATAAATAAGAAAAATAGTTCAAATGATCTTTATCGTTCACTGTATCTCTATGTGTTTTGTTTTAATTCTAAAGTGTTAATAATGCACAAGCAATACATAACTCTAGTTTCATTGCATAATGTAATCGAATGACGTTACTTTTGGCATAGTGACAACAAAAACAAACGAGAAACATAAACATTTAGGTTTAGTACTATTATAGACTGTGATAAGCTCGATATTCTGAGCATTTTCAAAGTAGCAAAAATGGAATAGGGAGCTATACTAAAGACTATATAATCTTGATAAGCTTTACATTACAAATATTTCAAAAAGTGGCAAAAAATGGAATATGAGTTAATAAAAAAAAAGGAGTTGAAAGGGAAATAAAAATAAAGTCTTACCACCCTGAGCTTGTTTTCCAGAAGTCACCCAAGGAATGAAACTCCATTGATGTGTCTCTGCTTTCTTCTTCTGCTCTGCTGATCGTATCTCACTTTCAAGTTGAATTTTAGTTCTCAGCTTCCAGGTCTCACGCTCAAGTTGCTCCAAAAGCTGTTCCTTATAGTCATGCTCCTTCTTCCAGCTTAATTCTATTGACCGTTTGTCCTTCTCAAATCGACCTCTGTCTCTGTCTCTTCCTGTCCTTAGCTCTTCAACTTGTTGTGTCAGAGTCGTCTCATTTCGCTCTTTCTCCCTTACGGTTTCCGTCAAAGCGTCTACATGCTGTTGCTTAGACTCAAGTTTCTTCGTCATATCTTCTGCCAATGAGCGCTTCTCCTTTTCAGCTCTTGCTCTGTTTTCTTCTTCTACTTGCTTTAGCTTCTCAACGTGTTGTGTTAGAGTCGTCTCATTTCGCTCTTTCTCACTTACGGTTGCCATCAAAGTGTCTACATGCTGTTGCCTAGACTCAAGTTTATTCGTCATATCTTCTGCCAACGAGCGCTTCTCCTTTTCAGCTCTTGCTCTGTTTTCTTCTTCTACTTGCTTTAGCTTCTCAACTTGTTGTGTTAGAGTCGTCTCATTTCGCTCTTTCACCCTTACGGTTGCCATCAAAGTGTCTACATGCTGTTGCTTAGACTCACGTTTCTTCGTCATATCTTCTGCCAATGAGCGCTTCTCCTTTTCAGCTCTTGCTCTGTTTTCTTCTTCTACTTGCTTTAGCTTCTCAACGTGTTGTGTTTGAGTCGTCTCATTTCGCTCTTTCTCACTTACGGTTGCCATCAAAGTGTCTACATGCTGTTGCTTAGACTCAAGTTTTTTCGTCACATCTGCTGCCAATGAGCGCTTCTCCTTTTTAGCTCTTGCTCTGTTTTCTTCTCCTACTTTCTTTAGCTCCTCAACTTGTTGTGTCAGAGTCGTCTCATTTCGTTCTTTCTCCCGTACGGTTGCCATCAAAGTGTCTACATGCTGTTGCTTAGACTCAAGTTTCTTCGTCACATCTGCTGCCAATGAGCGCTTCTCCTTTTCAGCTCTTGCTCTGTTTTCTTCTCCTACTTTCTTTAGCTCCTCAACTTGTTGTGTCAGAGTCGTCTCATTTCGTTCTTTCTCCCGTACGGTTGCCATCAAAGTGTCTACATGCTGTTGCTTAGACTCAAGTTTCTTCGTCACATCTGCTGCCAATGAGCGCTTCTCCTTTTCAGCTCTTGCTCTGTTTTCTTCTCCTACTTTCTTTAGCTCCTCAACTTGTTGTGTCAGAGTCGTCTCATTTCGTTCTTTCTCCCGTACGGTTGCCATCAAAGTGTCTACATGCTGTTGCTTAGACTCAAGTTTCTTCGTCACATCTGCTGCTAATAAGTGCTTCTCTTTTTCAGAACTTGCTCTGTCTTCCTCTCTTCTTTTCTTTAATTCCTGTTTTCGCTCTTCGACCTCTGTGACGATCTTCTGATTTGCTTCTTTCGCCTCTTTTGCGTCTTTCTTGGCTTTCTCATAGAGCATCCTACATGTACATCCTAGATTCGTGCATATCGTTGCGAACGTTCTTTTACCTTCGTTAAGGCATCCACGTAGGAGGTCAAGCCACTGCAACTGATCCTTATCTGAGGGCATGTAATTATAGTAAGGTATTTCGTGCATACCAGTGATCCCGAGATGCTTTAATTTATTCCTCACTTCGGGGATGTCTCTGCGAGGAAATATAGCACATAGAGGGACGCGGCCTATCCAATCGAAACATATTCAACGGGTTAAACTCGACATAACGTCCAATCTCACGATATTGTTATGACATCTACGTACCACACCTACGTCACATAATATTTTTTTTCTTCGAGGGGGGGGGGGTGTGACACAAACGAATGGAGAAAATTTAAAAATCTGATATGCTTCACTCAAAACTCACATCTTTCTTCAGAGATTTAAATGCTAACTTTATTGGAGGAGCTCGCGCCTTTGAATGTTTTTGAAACAGATAAATGGCGCCATACAAATGCTGTGAATCATCATCATCATTTTTATCAGTATTCTCAGTGGCATATCATTTCCTGCCATATTTAAATTTTAAAAAAATGGGCAAAATCGAGTGAGAAACGTAGGGAGGAGGAGAGAGAAATAAGGGGGATAAAGGAAGGAGACTGAGGAGGAGCCGGTATAAGAAGTAAATGAAGTGAGTAATGAGATAGAAATACATTTAAAACTATGATGATGTAACTGAAATGTAATATAGTTGTGGTAGGAAAATTTGTCGGGACAATCATGTTATGATAGACTGATGATGTTGTTTATGATAAAAAAAGGTTGAAACATGATTGGGAAATTTAAAGATCGGTAGTTAGTGAAAATTAATTGATAAATAAATGAATGAAATCAAGACCAAGTTGGACTCGATTCAAATAATATCGGTATTGGTGTAAGCATTACCATAATTATATTTAACTTTAATCACCCCCATGCCTCGGCTCAAAGTTAGAAACCTGTATCCAGTACAAGGAAAATGGATATTAAGCACCAAATTGCATGATATAGTATACAAGCAGATACTAAGTGGAAGGTATATTTCTATTTTATGCTTAATTTATGTTTCATCCAAATATAATGTCAAAGTCGTTTCAGATATATTATTTATGTTTAAATTGTTGACTGTGGGTCGTCAGACCATGGCCGTATGTCTCACGTAGATCCATGTTCAGATGATTAAGGTCAACCATGTCAACACGGGAGCGGGTAGATGTTGGGGGAATGGTACATAGTACACACCATGCCTGTTTCAAATGAATTAACAGAATGGTCTCAAAACCCCAAATCTTGTAAAATTACCGTGATTATTCGATTGGTTACCAAACGAGGATATGAGATGATATGTGCATGCATATTAAATCTAATAGAAAAAAAAATCTTGTTCAAGCATTTCAATGGACAGTATGATAATCAAGTTAATGGGGAAATAGTGTTATTACATCGGCCTATCATACATATTAACAGAGGCCTACACAAGCAGAGGAAAGTATTAACATGCAATTTACGAAGAAAGGAAAAAGTATATAATTTACAAAATGAACGAAAAAGGGGGTTGTAAGAGTCCACGATATCAACGTGATCAGAATTGATGGTGTGTAATTAATATGGATAATATAGAAAACTTAGATAAATACTTGATTTCAAAGTCAAATCATGTACTGTAGCATAATTATTTAACTCTACTCTCGATCTATTTTTCGTTATTTCTTGACTTTGACATAATCCCCTTGATCCCTCTTCTTTTTCTTCTTATTTCCCATCTGTACATATACTATATATTCCTTCTTAACCTCTGCACTCAGAGAGCATTAACTCATTGATGTCTCGATTTGGTGTCAGCTTGGGTTTGTCCATATTAGATCGCCCTCCACTGGATGGGTTGTTCGTGCTCATATGACATATATTTTAACACACACGGTGTCCCGAATTCACAAAGGAGGTTTGTCGACGAACCTAGGTTTTCGTGCGTCATATGACGCGTTTCGACGCGTTTTTAGAAACCAGGGGGTGTTTCACAAAGATCCTAAGTTGAACTTATCTCTAAGTTTGACATTATGGAAAAGCCGTTAGCATCTATGAAAATATTTTGTAAAGGTTATTTTAAAAGGCATGAAATGTTAATTAAAATCGTTCATATTTTATATTATCAAGGAGATTTCATGTTCTTGATGTTGAATTTATCAAAAGTCTAAATTACTTGATTTTTTGCTTTTGAATATATTTCATTTTAAGGCTAGAAATGGCTTTCCATAATATTTAAGTCCAACTTAGAGTTAACTTAGGTTAACCCCCTGGCTTGTAAAAAAAACGCGTCCAAACGTATTATATAACGTACATAAACCTAGGTTTGTTGACAAACCTCCTTTGTGAATTCGGTGAGTTAGCTCTCCCGGTGTGATGGGGGTGTGCGCATATTCGGGTTTACTTGTTGTGGTCATCCATGCTGTGGTCGATGCATCATTGGGTAGTTGTTTTCTAAGAGTATTTTGTGAATAGTATATATTCCATATTTGTTGTTGTGTTCATGAATCAGTTATCTTTGTCACACCATATGAGGGGGCCTTAACTTAAAAAGCTGTGCTTCAACCAAGGTCTCCTCGTCTTTCTTTATTCTACATTGTACTGTAATATGATTATACTCTATTATATTTTGTCACATGTGTTTTCTGGAAGACAAATAAACTTGACACTTGATACTAGATACTTCATTTATTGTATATATGTCCCAACTTTCTTAAATTTGACTTCTTTGTGTATATGTGGATAGGCCATGTTTTTTATGTATATCCTTAATTTCTTTCTTTCTCTCTGTTTATGTACAGGGCTTTATGGTTGAACACGATTGTGAATGAGCTACCCTGTTTTTTTAAATATGTGAATAATGATTAACAAAAAGAAATTGCTTGTATAAATTTGATTCTGATATAAATTGAGTAATAGTTGTTTTCTTTCATGTTCCATTCATTACTGATGGAACATTATTGTGTAGCAGGGGTCATTATTGTTAGATACCTACACATTTGATAACAGTGCTAATAACACACAACACCAGATACGTAAACATAGTTAAACAACCTACATAATGATTCATGCGTTATAGAATTCTGGCCAGTAACATTATTTATTTAATTAATCATTCTTTTAACTAATACGGTGGTGTAAATCAACTACTTGTGGTGTATACTGTGTGTATCAACAGTGCAATTTGTATTAATTCAAAATTGTTTAAAGATAAACATCATATGTCTTCACTTTATGATCCTACCTACCATTAAGGATTAGTGGCAAACTCACCTGTATTCCTCTTTACTATCTCGATCCACTTTTGGTAATATTCATTTTGAAGCGGACTGAAATTAAAATAAGAAAATCCACCGATTCAGAATCGTTATTATTCATGTGGTGATGATTAAAGGGTTAATGATATTAACATGATTCTGCAACCCACCCCCACCAAAGGCTACCTCAAAGAAGATAACGTGTATGTATTTGTTATACCGTACACTTAATAATAATTGTTCATCTATAATAATAATACGCTAAGGCTCCGCGGGGGGCGCGACGTCTCCGCGAGCCTTTGTATTCTATTGTTTTTTAATGAGATCGCCGACCGAAGTTGGTGCAGCTATCTCCTCCTGAACCCTCCCCTCGGGGTACCCGTGCCCGGTGCCATCGTCCGCGGGAGAGTCTACTCTGTGGAATTGGCTATACTCCGCCCGAGGTCCTCCTCCGTGTCGACGTCCAGGGCGAAAACAGACGCGACATGCATAATGCAGGATATGCGTGACGACAGAGATACCTCATGGATATTCAACATTACATCCGTAGACACACGACCGATGACTATCCGTATAAAATTGTATACACAAAAATCGGTCGTAAAAAAACTCGAACCATATTCCATACCTTACCTGGCTTATCATGTCGCACGCAAGTACGCCAAAACACGTACATTTTCGCAGTTGCGAGATCGAGACGGAGCGTAGGGCTCGAGTTTTTGGCGGTCGATTTTGTTTTGGTAGAAGCTGAATCTAGACCATGAACCACTAAACATCGCGAAACTGCAATCAATTTCCATCACGAATTCACGATTGCTGCAATATTATAAAGTTTCCATAAATAGAGGTATGAAATTAAAGCCTATTTTGTGATGTTCTCGCCATGTTTACGTAATTAACTGACAAGCATACAATAGTGCATTGCCACTGTGTAGTGTGTGTGAGATGAGCTGAGTTACGCTGCAGTTATGCAGCAGTGTGTGAGTTGAATTCGAGTCGAAGACATTTGACACTTTGAAATTGTTATCTGTTGGTTTGCATCATTATTGCCGCGATTTTAATATAGTTTCGTGAATAGATTTACGAAACCTGAGCTTAGAATTAGTAAAAGTATTACTAATGTCTACGTTTTTAAACGACTGTCTGATTTTCTTGTGAAAATTTTACTTTGAAAAATGATTATCGAAATTAATGGTCAGAAATAATCACAATCTAGGGTCTATTATGTTACAGTTCTTGCATCAAATCAATGCATGAAAACTTAGTTATTGAACTAGAAAAATGTTTTTTTTTTTTAAATAGGCAATTATAAAGAAGGAAGCCTGAAACCTTAGGCTACTGAACAAATCTCAACAAAGTGTAGGCCTATCGTTTTTTATGAATTAATGAAAAAGTAGCCCCAGAAAAAAGGGCCCCCGAAAGTTGAAAAAGTAGCCCCCGAAAATTTCCCAAAAATTTGAAATGGAGCCCCCGAAATGAAAAAACTTAAATTTTGCCTGCACCCCCCTCTAGAATCCTGCGGATTTCTACGGGTCCTGAGTTGCGTGTATATATAATATAGGCGTGGGGTCCACGGGTTTCAAGGGGCCATAAACCCCGAAAAGCTCGGAGGTTACGTTCTTCAAAGTTGGGGGGGGGGGGAGGAGAGATCCCGAGAGATCAGATCGCAGCGAGTTGAGTGTATATATAATATAGGCGTGGGGTCCACGGTTTCAAGGGGCCATAAACCCCCGAAAGCTCGGGGGTTTTAGGCGTTTAATTAGGGTCAGATGAGCATATTTTTAATACTTTATTTGTGACACTTGCGGGTCACTA